AGCATTACACTTCACTGGTACCGTGTTTAGAAAAACCATTTGACGGTAGAGCACGTACCGCACGACCATCTCTTCGAGACACGAGCTAGCTGCCCTGTCTACAAACTAAACCACACGGAAGTACCACATAAAACTACACCATAACTTATGTCACCCGGGTCCCCACGGGTCGAATCGACAAGAAAGCAACTGTCTAACCAGCGATCAGGCGTTCTTTTTTCAAAGGCAAAAAAAAAAAAAGAACCATAAAAAAGGAGGTCTGATCGCAGGTTTTCAATTGTCAATCAAGCATTAAGGGCACACATCATATCACGTGTTTTGGCTTTAAAGACTCAAACGACTGACACATTGTTGGAAGAATGTTGTACTGAAACATTACACTTATGTCATGTTTTATTTTGAACGGCAGTTCGTTAACTCTGTGATCTAACTGTTTTCCTGGTTAAGATGTTGTTTTCCGTGGTAGTGGGTAAAATATATTTTCAACAGTACAGAGCATACGGTTTTGGTGGAAATTGCGTTTGCCTTATTTTTGTTTTTGCTGTTTGAAGTTTGCAAACGAAAAATTTTCTTTATTCCTGATTTCCAGGGGGTGGGGATAGACTTGATTAATCCCAAATAAAGGGCGAAAGGGGTTTTAAGTTGAAATTGTTTGGAAAATTGATTAAAGGATAAGAAATAACCGTAATTATCAAGGTTCTTGACACGCGTAATATTTTTTTCAAACTAACACTTAAGGTCGGCACACACGAGGGGGCTAGTCCCTGCAACAAGTCGCGGGGACAAGTCCCATCGTGTGAACTGGCCATTTTTGCTCCTAGTCGCAGGGACCAACTTTGGTCCCTGCGACTAGTCCCACGAATTCAAACCAGTTTGAATTTTTGGGACAAGTCCCTGCGACTTGTTCCTCAAAACGCTTCGTGTGAACTGTTCGTGGGACAAGTCCCTGCCACCAGTCCCTTCGTGTAAACTCTTCAGGGGACCAGTTGCAGTGACTAGTCCCCTCGTGTGTGCCGACCTTTATAAAAGACTGGTTCCGCGCCAACTCCATAATGTTGCGATTGTTCCAAGTGTTTCTCTGTGGGGAATAGTGTCATTTCGGAAGGCGTGTTTAAAGTATAGCCCATCGAAATGAGGACCATTATCGTTCAAGGCTATAGACTGATGGCCGAAAGCTTATGTTTTAACCTTTTTAACCAAAGAACGCTTTTCACTTCTTTTTAAACAAATTATCCTTCTTATTCGCCAGTAAAATGTCAACGATGATGTAAAAGAGAAATCCAACACATTTTTCCACGGCCTGCACTCCAAGGGACCATAGCAATGATGCTAGAAAATATCCAAATCCACTATAACCTTCTTCAACCTCGATCCCAGGCTCTCTCCTCAGCGCCAAGTGAGGTAAAGGAGAGAGAGCCTGGGATCAAGGTTGATCTTTCTTGAGTGCTGACCATATAATGAAGTCATTTCTCGGGCTATGATGTTTTCACGTGACGTCACAGCAGCCATATTGGTGTCCCCAAACGATGAAACAGTGGTCATGTTGGTGTCCCAAATCAATAGGCCATTTCCTAGCTGCCTTTTGCCTCAGTGTCAAAACGAGTCTACGGGCGAAACCATTCATATGAAAATGAGTTCCGCATACAGGTTCATTTTCATGCAAATCAAAAGAAGGGGTTTGCACGAAGACTCGTTTTGAAACAGAGGCACAAAGAAACTCGGAAATGGACTACCTTCAACTATTATGTAAACACTTTCTTTTGTTCCAATAAATTGAATGACTGCTGGCTACGTAGGTGAAAACGTTAAAGCATGAGAAAATGTCGATTGTTGCGAATACAACAAGTAAACTGAACAACACGAGTTAATTCATTAACTCAACTGTACTAGTTTTGTTTATTGTGTAGTACTACTAACACAGATCAAAGTGCAGGGTATCACGTTAAATAGTTGGAGAATCTCTGTACAATTAAACTAGTCATTATTTTAGTGTATTAATCTTTAAAAATAAATATATCTCTTCTTCGAAATGCATTTTCAATACACTCTAACACCTCACGATTTAAACCCTTCATCGACACCCTATTCCGACATCTTTCAAATTACTTTTTAAACTAAATTATGTCACTGAGCACAGATTAAACACACTTTGCATAGCGATAAGCTTACTAACGTTCTCTATTTTGAAATTTGAAACAATCAATCAGTTCATTCGTCTGTCAACGCTAAACTATCTTCAGTAAAGTAGGACTGTTAATAGACTGAAAAAGAAAAAGAATTTTTGGAAACTTGTGCCTCGGTCGGTCATGCGTGTTTTAATCAATAGACCTTTGCATAAAAGGCGCTTTAATTTGAATAACAATACTTATACATCCCTAGCCTTTTCATGTGAAAAGCCTAGGGATGTATTAAGTGTCGTCATTCAAATTAAAGCGTCTGTTATGCAAACGGTGTCTATGGTTTCTCTGCAGTACTTTTACAGAACTGCACTATAGGCACGCATTACGACTAACGACGCTATTTTAGCAATAACTCCTTACTAACGCAACTGCCACTGAGCCTCAAGTTTGGAGGCAGATATTAAAACGACCTTGTTGAGATAAGCGATAGATTAAGAAACAACAACACTAACAAGAACAGCAAGAACAAATCTGAAAATGCACGATCCCCGCGTGCTGCAAACCCAGCCGTCACGTGGACGCACTTGTTCTTAAATTCCCACCCTTGTCCTTTCATTACAGAATACCAGACCAACACACTTGGGAATAATCGTGAAACGTTCAGGTTGACTTGTAAATAAGGGCAAATTGTCCTTGAATTTCCCAAGATCTACTTCCAACGGTTAACTGCCTGCATTTCGAAATCCAACGCAACGAGACGAAGATATTTCTTGGAGTAACTGGGAGTACAGTTGGTTCAGAAAAGATCATACTTTACATCAAACACCTAACTTGTCTTGCATGCTGTGTTCCAAAACAAAAGGTCGGCGTCTTAGGCCGGAAATTTTTTGTTTCTTGGTTACAAAGTTGCTTAGCAACGGAAAGTAACATCACCATTTAGAGGTTTTAGCACTTGTCTGTCTATATCAAACGCATACATGCTACTAATGTTTAAAGACAAAATTGTTGATTATTAGAGCGTTTGGTTCAAGAATATAACTATTTAAGGCTACCAGGCTATTCAACATCCGATTATACTCACGAGATTAACAACAGCTCTTAGCTTTGGAGCTCGGTTAACTTATTTCGATACTTCACTTCCCAGGGTTGTCACGCAAGCTAAAAGACGTGTTGCGTGACCACCGAAACGTGACTAGCACTTGATTCATTGTACATGTTCTTTACTCTTTCTTAATCCACGAATGTAACCAACGTCAGGAGTTAACAGGAACGTTGATAATTAATTAATAGTTAAATCGTTAACAATTCGTCGGGGTTTTTTCTTATAACAATTAGATAATAAATTACACCTCTTAAAACACATCTAAAGGCTATCTCTTTACTCCTCCCCCACCTCCAAAGTTTAAGCACCAAAAATATCTATAACTTAATATGTCAAGTCAGGTGAGTCAAGTTTTAAGCTTTAAGCGCGAGTTAAAAGGTTAATTATCACCGAATCGACCATTTCTACCCGAGAGCCAAACCTTGATGCCAAAACTGATGCGGTTATAAAGTCTACATATGTAGATAAAACCTTAATTTGGAAATTTTATCGGGTCGTACAAGGTACAAAGTCTGTGGATGAAACCCCAGTGTGTGACTATCCCGGTAGGAACCAACTAGTTTGCCCAAGAAAAATATTTATAACTTAATATGTTGTGTCAAGGGAGTCAAAATCTAAGATTGAAACTCGAACAAAAGCTAACACTAACCCTAACCCTAAAGTATCACAGAGTTTTTCTCCATATACATTTCTCTCCGAGAGCCAAAATGTATTAACTTGGTTCCAATTTTTACATATGTGACTGAAACCCTGATGTGTGAGCAGTACTCTCAGCTGGTACTGTTCAAAGTGTTGTACAAAGTAGTTCTAACGTTTGAGTCTGACTGAAACCTTATCGTGTCACCACTCAGCCATCCAGTAGTACTGCATGTAGCAATACTTATTATTGCTGAACAAGGTGGTTGAGCTTTTAAGTCTGCGGTTGAAATCCTAGTGTGCAACCATTCAAATGAAAGCTCTTAAGCCGAACTTTCGTAGTAGTACTGCATGTAGCAATACTTATTATTGCTGAACAAGGTGGTTGAGCTTTTAAGTCTGCGGTTGAAATCCTAGTGTGCAACCATTCAAATGAAAGCTCTTAAGCCGAACTTTCGTGTGCTCTTGTTCAACACTAAACTTGGGACTCTGCTCTTCTTTTTTCTTGAAGTTTGGTACTCTCTTAGGAGCAAAACGAAAGGTAGCCTGCGAAAAGGTCTTTCTAACTTTTAAATTCTGGTGTACGACCATTCAAATGAAAGCTCTCGAGCAGAACTTTCGTCAGCTACCGTTCAATATTTCACAAGATGAAATTTGAATTTTTTTCCTTTTTTTTTAAATTTTGAACAATGGCACTCTTGGGAGTGAAAGGGTCAACTAATCCGAAACCCCGAACAAACAAGGTAGCAGGAGAATTACAGCAACCACAAGCAAGGAGAACCCTGAAAAGAAAATCATGGCCCACTGTTTATCAGTCAGTGATACCCTTCTTGTCTCCTTGACGTCCATTGCTTGGTCGTCACCGTCCGCACTACTCTCGGAAATCTTCTTCTTCTTCTTCTTCGGCGTCGTAGTCCTTGCTGACGTCACCGGCGAAAAGACGCCCTTGATGGGGCCTGGGGACCCGCTTGGAACGTTCATTAATCGTACTGCGCAGACGCGGAAGCGAACCTCAGTGGACGCTGGGAGCGAGTCGTATTCGAACTTTGTGTTAGGTCCCTGATAAACCTGAAAATGAAGTAAGAGAGATTGTACGATCAAAATCGAAATTCTCCTGTTTTATTCCACGATGAAGTCCGTTATGATGAAGTCCTTTGATCACAATTCCTTAGAAACCTGAAGTCCAAAGGAGAATCTTTCCCACCATCCTTACAATTACAACATTAAGAGATGAAGCCACATCAGCCATAGCTGGTTTTCATGCAGGGTTGAATTAAAATTTGGAAATTATTTTTCTTCTTTCTTTTCAGGAGGAAAACTTGACTATCCAGAGAAAATCCCTCGGAACACGGCGTGAACCAACAACAAACTCGACTCGTGTATGGCGCGAGGCCGGAATCGAGGCCGGAATCAAGCCCAGGCCACATAAATGGGAATGAAACGATATCGTATGGGGTTGCCCATTCGAAACCTCCTCCTTCTCAACACAACAAGATTTTCTAGACTTATCTAGATCCCTTCGTAACATTTCATATCCTTCAACTGGGACAGATGAAGCTACCTAGCAGTTTGAGAACGTCTTCGCGGGGATTTACCTTACATAGCGCAACAATCAAACGCGCGAACATTTAATCCCAGCAAGAAAAGTTTAAGATCATTTACGTTCAAACTAACCTGTACAAAATCTTGGTCCTTTCCAACACACTGACTTTGCAATAAATACTCAATTTGTTCTCCCCTCTTTACGGTTTGTACCGGGTCCCAGCTGACAGACAGTGAAGAAGGCGTCGTGTTTTCTGCTGTCAGACCTGAAAGATTGTCATATAAAACAACTGATTACTCAAAGATGTCTAGTTGGCACGAAGTAGAAGGTCGTTGAAAATCATAGGTACCTGTTGAATATCTCATGCGATATACGTAGTTTGTAACTGTACGATTTGGAAACCTACGTTATAACAGCCTTGCACAACATTACGAAAGTGCCACACAGAACAGTTTCATCCACAGACTTGAAAGTTAGAAACACCTCGTACAGACAGTACATGAAAGTACTGCTCAATAGCTTTCGTTTGAATAGTCACACACTAGGGTTTCATCCACAAAGCTAAAAGATGAAACCACCTTGTACCACATGAACGTAATGCTCAATAGCTTTCATTTGAATGGTCACACACTAGGGTTTCATCTACACACTCAAAAGTTAGAACCACCTTGTACAGCATAAGAAACAATACCACAAGAAAGTACTGCTCGATGGCTTTTGTTTAAATGGTCATACATACGAGTTTTATCCGCAGCTCAAACTATCGATTGGATTGGGCACACCCTAAGAAAACCGATCAGCAATATTGCCAATATTACCGCTTAGGTGGAACCCCCAGGGAAAGAGAAATCAAGGTCGTCCTAGAAACAGCTGAAGGAGAACCGTGGACAATGAGGCGTCAAAGGCAGGCTACACTTGGAAAGAGATCGAAAACTTGGCCCAAAACAGAAGGAGATGGCGGACAGTTTCCATGGACTTATGCTCCACATGCGGTGAAAGGTAATAAACAGTCAAACAATCGGGAATCCAAGCTTTGGTAGACTGACAGGAGCTTTTTCCATGGTTTCATTTTCTTTTTCTTTTTTCATGTCGTTTCAAATGAATAATTGCTTCACCGACGAAATAATAACTAACCTTTGATTGTGTTAGGTGGTTGTGCTGTGGTTACAAAAGACACCACATCAGAGAAGGGCCCAGGCCCTGCGTCATTGCTCGCCTGGATACGGAACTGGTACTCAGTCCTCTCCTGAAGTTTGCCAACCTTGTGCGAAGTGGTGGGGCCGTTAAACACAGTAACAAAGCTGCAGGGGGAAAGCAATACAACAAAAGCTCGTTAGCGCGAAAGACGAAAAATCTGTTCCTCCCTTTCTCTTCTCGACTTTAAGCTCGAATGGAGTAACCCCATCGTAAAACACCATCGAGTGACAAACATTATTCTATCAGTTCCGTTCCGTTCCGTTCAACAACAGTTCTTTTCAGAACTACCATCACCCGGAAGATCACACAAGATCACACAAGACGAACAACTTAAACTCCTAGGTTAAAACCATTTACTTAACTACGATTTCTTATCAGCAACAAAACAACAGTAACAGCAGTACTAGGCTGCACAAACCATCCTTGAATACGGTAGACCGTGTGATTCTCACCTTCCATTTTTGTCCAACATTTCAAGTGTATACGTCATGCCAGCCGCGCCGGTCTTCCCGCCTGTGCCACGTGATGACGTCCACCTAAGTTTCAGACTCTGGTACGAGGGCGTGGCTAATTCCAACAAAGGAGCTGGCGGGGGCAGGTCACCAGTGGTCGCGAATACGGTAGAACTACAGAAAAAAAAAACAATATTAAAACGTATACAGGCAAAAACTAACGATAGATAAATCCGACGTTTCGGCGACATCTTGGCGCCATTGTCAAGGGAAACTAATTAAATATGCGATTTCAAGAGTAACTAAGAGTTCAGAGTTTCCAATTTGCATAAGTTAGACAAAGACTTCAGCGCGAACTGAGTCTGATTGTACATTTAAACACGGTCGTAATTGTTTAATGAGTAACATCTCATTAATGAGACAATCAAACTTGTTGTGGCATTTTTTCAACACGCTAAAACAATTGCGAAGGTCATCCGGAATCCTGCCTGCGTGTCTATTATCATAGTGATTGCGTACTGACGAGGTCTTGCTTCTATGTCCATCAACGCGTACGAACAGATGGCC